AAAGCACCTGGTAAGTTACAGGTAGTGGCAAAGCATCAAACAGAAGACACCACTGCCTACTTCCCTGTCTCAGATGGAGCCTTTTTCTCTGCTACTGCCTATTTTTGCTGGTTGGGTTCATGGGGGAGCACTTTAGCTAGTTAAATCTGTTTTTCCCATCCCTGCCAAGGCTAGTGTGTTCATTCATGTCATCTTTGTGGCCGTAAGAGGATACATAAAGCCTTTGTCTTCTGAATGGAGTTTACCTTCATCTCTATCGTATTTGTAAAATGAAGTGTTGCTAGCTAATTGTAAAAGTTGTTTGGTTTTTTTCCCCTGTGAAAAGTATAGCTCACACACATTATTCCCTATATATATTGTATATTGCACAGGGATTTCATTCTCCACTTGAGGAGGCACAGTGTCATGTATGCATGGTGAGGGAGCGAGAACCTGGCTTTCAGGCTGAACTACAATGTCAAGACCAGTGTGTCTCCTTTTGGTAGAGCGTCAGCTCAGGAGTCATTCTACTCACTGTGCTGTGGTTGAGGGCTGTCATTCTTTTTCTGCCCTGGCCACCTTCTTTATATTCCTCTTCTGCGTTGCCAGTTACTGGGATGCATTTGATTTGCTCCTTGGTAGCAAGGAGTTAAAGTCCCAAGTTCTGCTTTTGCAGAATTTGGGAGACATGAGCAATGCAAATATAGAGATGGATCCAGATGGCAGCCCCCTAAGACTGATATCCTTGACTAATCCATAGCTTTAATGAAGTGGTTGTTCATGAGTAAGCTGTAGATGACGATTACAATGCTGTCCCTCACTTCTCCCTTCTGCCCTTATCACTTCAAGCACAAACTTTGGACAGGTTATGGTTGTACTCGATGATTTTAAAGGTCTTCTCCTACCAAATGATTCTATGATTCTACGATGTTCTCTTAACTAGGGGTGGCGATACATGATCTGCATTATCAGCTCATTTAAACCCTGTAATTTCTCTCCCAGAGGAAAGGCCCTCTCTTTGGGCTTCTGTGAACAGCTTGTCACTGACTGAGGCAAACACCATGTCACTGCAGCAACTTCTCTTTCTCTCCAGGTGTCAAGCGCTGTTGCTCAGAGATGGAGGGAGGACAACTTGATTTGACCAGTCGCTTTTCCCCCTACCGCATGTTCTCGGTCAGGTATACCGATGAGAACTACCACCGGCTGCTGAAACTCAGCGAATACCACATCCT